AGCACATCACTACACCAGCCTTGCTCTGGAGTAATCACGTTCCTTCCTGGCTCTCGGCAGCACATCACTAGCACAGGCTTTTTATTTTAACTTTTATCACCATTTCAACCCACTGTGATGCTGAAGCACCGAACCCCTCAAACAAGACAGCTATGTTGCATCTGTAAGCTCTTCCCCCCAAATAGGTGGTGTCAGTTGGTTCTAGCTACAAACTAGTGCAAACCATTCCAAATATCCTAATGTCAACTGGGCTTCCAAATTACTTAGTTGAAGTAGACCCAGTTCTTATGATGGAAACTTCAGCTCCAAGAGAAATGCAGGTATTGACAGTGCATGACCTAGAATCGAGTCGATCTAACACACCGGGAGGGGCGGGGGGGCGGGGAATAATAAAAGACAAGCAAAAAGTGGCACAAAAAGGATCGTTTTAACTCTGAGCCTTGAAATGCTCCGTTTCCAATATGATAAGGCATCATTACTGCAAGTAAAGGAAGTTCTTCTCAATGGCACCCAAGCCCACTCTCGGGCTGATCTGAGGCAGAGTCACCACTCCTGCCAAGCCCAGCTGCACACTGGGATCAGCCTGCATGCTGAAAAACAGACTGATATCCAGGCCCGTCTTTCACAGTATCTAACACACACGCCTTTCGTAGAGAAAAAAAAAACAAAAAACCAAACCCTTTGCTGTTGAGTCAATTCTGACTCATAGTGACCCTACAGGACAGAGAAGAACTGTCCTGTAGGATTTCCAAGGAGTGGCTGGTGGATTCAAACTGCCGACCTTTTGGTTAGCAGCTGTAGCTCTTAACCACTGTGCCACCAAGGCTCCTTCATAGACTAGTGCTCAATGTATGCCTGTTGATTTGATCTGTCCACCTTCCTTGGGGTTCTCTCAAGTCTGGATATTTTTAGTTTAATTTTAATAGCCAAAATGTCAGTTAAAAGGATATAATATTTTATTTTTGAAAGGAAAATCTCATTACAATGTATCCTATACATGTGCTTACTCACCGTGGCCAGTCAAAGTCATCTGACGATGTTATATCTCCATCTACTCCACTAGACACGTGGAAAAACTTAATAGATGGTTCTCCTTTATCTTCCTGGAATGACCCTAAGAAAACAAGACTGATTAACTGAACTGCATTTCTTCTCAGGGGCTAAAATACTCTGTTCCTCCTGAGAAGAGCACAGATTCTCTACATCAGGGACATCAGGAACATCACACAACATGAAGTTTTACGGCATTTACTCATTCCTGGTCCACATGTACACGTGCGTAGGGGAAAGGAGCAAGTACAAATGATGAGAAGAGTGATGGTTTCTTCTCACTGGAGATAAGGGAAGATGAGGTGACTCCTAAAGCTCTCTCATGAAGCCCTCATCAGCAACAGCCAGTTTTAACTATCTCTAAAGATCATGTGAAACTCAGAAGGGACAATGGCAGGGGAACTTCTGCAGCCTGTTCCAGAGAGGGGGTGGCAGAGGCAGGTGGCTCAGGAACCACAGGGGGAGGTGTCAATCTCCTCTAGGGTTCCTGATACTCGTGGTTCACTCTGAGTCCTTCTATAGTGCCTTCCTTAGCTCCCAAGAACAAGGTAATACAGAAAACCCAAGGAGATTTTACAAAGAAAAGTCACCAGAGACTAGCATAATGGCTGAAAGCTCAAGCTCTAGTGTTGGACTTGGGTTTGGGTCTTGATTCTGCCATTTATTACAACATGATCTTGAAGATTCTCCTTCTTTTGTGTGTGTTTTCATTATTTATTTCTTTTGATTTTTTTAAAAATTGTACTTAGATGAAGGTTTACAGAACAAACTAGCTTCTCACTAAACAATTGGTACACACATTGTTTTGTGACATTGGTTGCCAACCCCATCACATGTCAACACTCTCCCGTCTCGACCTTGGGTTCCCTATTTCCAGCTTTCTTGTCCCCTCCTGCCTTCTTGTCCTTGCCCCTGGGCTGGTGTACCCCTTTAGTCTTGTTTTGTTCTGTGGGCCTGTCTAATCTTTGGCTGAAGGGTGAACCACAGGAGTGACTTCATTACTGAGCTAAAAGGGTATCCGGGGACCATACTCTCAGGGTTTCTCTAGTCTCTGTCAGACCAGTAAGTCTGGTCTTTTTTTGTGAGTTAGAATTTTGTTTTACATTCTTCTCCAGCTCTGTCCAGGACCCTCTATTGTGATCCCTGTCAGAGCAGTCGGTGGCGGTATCTGGGCACCATCTAGTTGTGCTGGACTCAGTCTGGTGGAGGCTGCCATAGTTGTGGTCCATTAGTCCTTTGGACTAATCTTTCTCTTGTGTCTTTAGTTTTCTTCATTCTCCATTGCTCCCGAAGGGGTGAGACAAGTGGAGTATCTCAGATGGCCACTCACAAGCTTTTAAGACCCCAGACGTCACTCACCAAAATAGAATGAACGTAGAACATTTTCTTTATAAACTATGTTATTATGCCAGTTGAGCTAGATGTTCCCCGAGATCATGGTCCCCACAGCCCTCAGCCCAGTAATTTGGTTCCTCAGGGAGGTTACATGTGTCCATGGAGCTTCCGTGACCTTTCCTTGTACAAGTTGTGCTGGCTTCCCCAGTATTGTGTACTGTCTTACCCTTCACCAAAGTTACCACTTATCTATTGTCTACATAGGGAAGACACCTCCTTCTAATCAACAAACTCTTCACATTAAATCATAAACGTAACTGGAAATCACAATTGTACGGTGATTCTGACAACTAAAGGAAAGAAGGTAATGCATGTGGAGGGCTCAGTACAGGGTGCAGCAGTGCCCGACAACCTGCAACGGGAAGGGCAACAAAGCAGTCTGAAGCACTGTAGAAAACACGTATTTTAACAAAATAAACAAATCATCGTGCTTAGGCATTTCTTTAAAAAACTGGTTTATATCGTATTTACACAATGCTGCAGAGAAGCTGTTGCTTGTGCTAACACAACGCTCTTCGATTTTATTACATTTTAGCAACGGTTGTTTGTTTCCGGTCTGGCTCTCACAGGCACGCTGAATCTTACCGACCAGTTCTCTGAAGGTAAGTTCCAGTTTAGCTTGTTCTGGGGTTGATCCTCCTACGACTTCAGTCTTAAATTCTAGATCTGTGAAGGCTAAGTGAAGGATCTCCTTCTGAAGCGACTTCTTAAACCACGGTCCTCTTTCTTGATCTGATCTAAGATCAGGTATTGGGAAGCGAACAGAAAGGTTTAATGCTGGTGTGGCAGCTTGTACTGATATCCGACAATTTGCAGGATTATGTGAATCATCTAGAAATACTTCAGTGAAAGCCTTGTGCTGAAACACAAAATATCAAAAAATATGCCAAAATATTAAATAAAGTAAATTAACATGAATGACATTAGTATCCAATCACTATAATATGTATAATCACTATTCTCCATTTGGTTTAATACATTAAAATGTAATTTAAAATAACTATTACCTTATTAATTAGGCGTTCTGAAATTTTATAATACAACTCCTATTGGCAAAAATCAAGCTATAAACAGAAGTTAAACCCTCATATAAAAAATCAAAATAAATCAAAATAAAAACTAAACCAGAGTGAAGACACAGGTACTACATATACATATCCATCTTGCTAGCAATTTAAAAAGAAAAAATGTGTAAATTAACCTTTCAACAACTTCAATATGGTTAAAAATCATGATAGTACCCAAAAAGCAATCTGAAGGATTTACCTACCAATACACTTAAAGAAAGGAGCCCTGGTGGTGCAGTGGTTAAAGCACTCAGCTGTTAACTGAAAGATCAGTGGTTCAAACCCACCAGCCACTCTGCAGGCGAAAGATGTGGCAGTCTGCTTCCATAAAGATTACAGCCTTGGAAACTCTTTGGGGCAATTCTACCCTGTCCTATAAGGTCATTAAAGCTCATTGTGATTTTAGATGAAGTCTGCCAAATGCAAAGGTCCATCCCTTACTCATCTCATATTCTAAGACTAAGCTCTCAATAAATATTCACAAAATGACTAACTCTGAACTCCTCTGTAACCCAAGTGAAACCAAAATGTGTATGCAACATTTACCAAAGGCCATGTTATAATAAAATGATCAAAGAACATGCCTAAGTCAACGTCTTAGTTATCCAGTGCTGCTGTGACAGAGATACCACAAGTGGGTGGCTTTAACAAACAGAAATTTATATTCTCACCGTTTAGGAGGCTAGAAGTCCGAATTCAGAGCACTGGCTCTAGGGGGAGTGTCTTAGTTATCTAGTGCTGCTATAAGAGAAATACCACAAGTTGATGGCTTTAACAAAGAGGAATTTATTCTTTCCCAGTCTAGTAGGCTAGAAGTCCAAAATTCAGTAGGTCAACTCTGGGGAAGGCTTTTTCTCTCTGTTGGCTCTGGAGGAAGGTCCTTGTCATCAATCTTCCTCTGGTCTAGGAGCTTCTCAGCACAGGAACCTCCGGTCCAAAGGATGCACTCTGCTCCTGGAGTGGCTTTCTTGGTGGTATGATGTTCCTATGTCTCTCTGCTCGTTTCTCTCTTTTATATCTCAAAAAGAAATGGGCTTAAGACACAATCTAATCTTGTAGATTGAGTCCTCCCTCATTACCATAACTGCCAATAATCCCATCTCATTAACATCATAGAGATAGGGTTTACAACACATAGGAAAATCACATCATATGACAAAATGGGAGATAATCACACAATACTTGGAATTATGGTCTATCCAAGTTGACAGATATTTTTGCGGGACACAATTCAATCCATGACAGGGAAGTTTTCTCTGTCAGCTCTAGAGGAAAGTCCTTGTCTCTTCAGCTTCTGCTTCCTGGTTCCTTGGAGATCTCCACACGTCTTGGCAACTATCTTACCCCATCTCTCTCTCTACTCGCTTGCTGAATTTCTTTTACATCTCAAAAGAGATTGACTCAAGACATACCCTACACTAATCCTGCCTCATTCACATAACAAATGGGATTACAACCACAGGCATAGAGGCTAGGATTTTAAACATGCTTTTTCAGGACACAATTCAATCCGTAACATTCCACCCTTTGGCCCCCCAAAATTCATATCCTTGCCACATGCAAAACACATCATCCCAAAAGTCTTAAGTCAACTCCAAGTCCAAAATCTCATCTTCTGAATCATCTAAATCAGATACGGGTGAGACTTTAGGTGTATTTGATCCTGGGGCAAGATTCCTCTTCATCTGTGAACATGTGAAATCTAGACTACAAGTTATCTGTTTCCAAAGTACAATGGTGGAACAGGCACAAGGTACATGTTTCCATTACAAATGGGAGAAACTTGAGGGAAAGAAGGATAACAGGCACCAAGCAAGTCCAAAAGTTAGCAGAACAAATTACAGCAGCTCTCAAGGTTTGAAAATAATCCTCTTTTCTCTGAGACCATGGCAATGGCCTCACCCTCTAGACTCTGGGTCTTGGCCACACCCTCTGGATTCTGGGTAGATACCCCTTGGCCTTGAGTTTCAGCTCCACCTTCCAGGCCCTCTGGGATGGCAACTCTGCTCCCTCAGCTTTAGGTGGTCCCATTCTCCGACTCCATCTGAGTGGAGACCCCACCCCCCTCAGCCCCAGCAGGCCCCGTTCTTCTGCCCTTTGGGCATGGCAGCCCAATCCCCTCAGCTTTGGGAAGTGGCCCCAACCCCCTGGCATACCTTATTGGCATCCCCACACTCCGGAACCAAGCTGGCAAAGATCTGACTCTTAGAAACCTAGGAAGCTGTGGCCCCACTCTTTGAGATCCAGGAGATCGTGGCCCCACCCCTTGAAACCTAGAAGGTCCCACTTCCTATGCTCCCTCCAACAGTTCTGCTGATCTCTCAAGCTGCTCCAGGGATGGTCCTTTTATTTTCTTGGAGGACAACAGATGTAGCTCCTTTGGCCTGATTCCTGCCTGTAGAATTCCAAGGGAGCAGATAGCATTCTTTCCTTTTGTTCTTTCTCTGTCCTCTTCAGTATAAGCTGATGAGTTTTCTGCTGTGGTAATTAGATCCATCAGTTACATGCTTAATCTCTTTAACAAAAGATTGTGTAGCCACGTCCTTGGTAAACATTCTAGGATACATGTCTTAGTTTGTACAACAGAATTTTCAAAATCTTTAAATTCTGTTTTCATAAGTTCATTTTTAAGTCCATCTCTTTCCGCTCACATTTTATTATAAGTGGTGTCATGGATTTAATTGTGTCCCCCCAAAAATATGTGTCAACTTGGCTAGGCCATGATTCCCAGCATTGTGTGATTGTCCACCATTTTATCATCTGATGTGATTTCCCTATGTGTTGTAAATCCTAACTCTATGATGTTAATGAGATGGGATTAGTTATGCTAATGAGGCAGGACTCAATCTACAAGATTAGGTTGTGTCTTAAGTCAATCTCTTTTGAGATATAAAAGAGAGAAGTCAGCAGAGAGACATGGGGACCACATATCACCAAGAAAAAAGAGCCAGGAGAATAGCTCCTCAACCAGGGAAGACTGATGACAAGGACCTTCCTCCAGAGCCGACAGAGAAAGAAAGCATTTCCCTGGAGCTGGCACTCTGAATTCGGACCTCTAGCCTACTAGACTATGAGAGAATGAATTTCCCTTTTGTTAAAGCCATCCACTTGTGGTATTTCTGTTATAGCAGCACTAGACAACTAAGACAAGTGGCAAGGAGAAACCACGTGGCCCCTTTAAGATCTTGCTTAGAAATCTCATCAGCCAGATATCCACGTTCATCACTTACAAATTCTACCTTCCACCAAACATTTGAACATAATTTAGACAAATTCTTTGTCACTGTATAAAAAGCATCGCCCTTCCTGCGTTGGGGTCCTGGTGGAGCAGTGGTTAAGAGCCTGACTGCTAACCGAAAGGTCGGCAGTTTGAATCCAACTGCTCCTTGGAAACCCTATGGGGTAGTTCTGCTCTGTCCTATAGGGTTACTATAAGTCAGAATCGACAGCAACAAGTTGGTTTTCTCTATTGCCCAATCACATATTGATCATTTTCTTTTAAAGCCTCACCAGAAGCACATTTAATGTCCACATTTCTAGCAATGTTCTTTGCTGGCACCATGTACATTCCCTAAGATCATAGAGACTTTCTCTATAGCTCTTGGGCTCGGTTCTCTAGAAAAGCAAAACCAGTGAAGCATATGTATGTATAAATATGTATATAGAGAGGTTTATCTCAACGAAATGGCTCATGCAGTTGTAGAGGCTGGCAAGTCCCAAGTCTGTGAGTCAGGCATCAGGGTAGAGGCTTCTCCTGACTCACATAGCTTTAGGGGCTGACGAACCCAAGATCAGCAAGTCAGACAGCAGGATGCTGGCTCACAGGCTGCGAAGGCGAACAAATCCCAAGATCAGTAGGTAAGACAGTAGGCCACTGGCTCACAGGCTGCAGAGGCTGACAAATCCCAACATCGGCAGGCAATATGGCAGGCCGCTGTCTCAAGTCCCAAGAACCAGAGGTCAGATGATAATGAGCCAGATACAGGATCCAGAGCAAGCAAGTGAGCTTTGCCTGAACGTCCTTATATATTGGATTCAGGCCACACTCCCAAGGATACTCCCACTTCAATTGATTGGCCGCTCACATCAGATCACAAAATGGAGGATGACAACATCATTACATAACTCTCAAATTACACCATTACATAACTCCCAAACTACATCACTACATAACTGCCAAACCACTGAGAATCATGGCCCAGCCAAGCTGACACACAACCTCAACCACCATAGCTCTCCTCACTTCCTTCTAAGCCCCCACCAGAACTGCCTTTGATATCCATAATTCTACCAACAGTTTCTTCACAGCAACCTAGACTTTTACTATCAGGCACCTTAAAACTCTTCCAGAATCCTCCCATTATCCAATTTCAAAACACCTTCCACATTGTACGTATTTGTTAGAGCAGCACCCCACTCCCGGTACCAAATTCTATCTTAGTTATCTAGTGCTGCTATGACAGAAAGACTACAAGTGGGTAGCTTTAACAAACAGAAGTTTATTTTGTCAGTTTAAATGGCTAAAAGTCCGAATTCAGGGTGCTGGCTCTAGGGGAGGCTTTCTCTCTCTGTCAGCCCTGGAGGAAGGTCTTTGTCTCTTCAGCTTCTGCTTCCGGGTTCCTTGCAGATCTCCACATGTCTTGGCATTTGTCTTACCCCATCTATCTCTCTCTGCTTGCTTGTTTAATCTCTTTTATATCTCAAAAGAGACTGACTCAAGATACACCGTACAGTAATCCTGCCTCATTCACTTAACAAAGACAATCCATTCCCAAATGGGATTATAACCACAAGCACAGAGTCTAAGATTTACAACACAATGTGGGTGACACAATTCAATCCACAACAGTCAACTTCTATTTTTTCTCTAAAATGTATAGAAACTTACAAAACTTCAGTCCACAGTATGCTGTAGGTGGTAACACTCCTCAGTTTCTCAAATCAGTCTTTAACCTCCTAGATGAGAGAATTCCTTTTTTATGCTAGACTTGGATATTTAACCAACTTCTTTCTCTACCCTATTTGAGTTTCTAACACTAATCCTCATTCTTGGGGCACAAATAACCCAAGAGATTAAGCCATCATCCCAATACATCTATGGCTAACAGCAAATATAGACACTGGCCCTATAAAACTTAAAGAAACTAGCAATTGGTGGCAATAAAAAAAAAAAAAAAGAATGCTGATTTAATGTAAATACCTACCTAAGGGAATACCTACCTACCTAGGGAAAAAGCAAATAAGTAAAACAATAAAATATCTTGTCTCTATCTTTTTTTTAAACCAAAGTTGTTGCTGTCCGTCCCTGGTCCTACAGCCCCCATCCCCCAAGTTCCAGCCCCCAAATTGCTAATAGACTTCTTGCAAATGTGACTTACTTGATTTACTTAGAAAAGATTCCAGGTAATGGGAACCTAGTTTGCTATGTAAACTTTCACCTAAAACACAATAAAATATTAAAAAAGAAAGAAAGAAAAAACTCCAGACACCAGATCTAAGTGATATAATTTGATGCTCAATAACATGATACTATAAATTATGCTCCCATTTTCAAAAGTATATTTTATATTATATTAGCTACATTTTATGGATGGTTCAAGTAGTTTTTTAAAATGTGTGACTAGATAAAATTTTGTGGAAATATTACAATAACAGTTACTAAAATTCAGATAAATATAGAAAAGGAAAGGAAATCTAATGCTACCATTCTCACACAATCAATGGTACTAACTGGTTTATTTCCATCCATTCTTTTTCTATACACCAATGTTATTTATACAGCTATAATAAAAGTTTATGTGGAATAATATATTCTACTTTTTCACTTAATGCTATGTCATGAGACTTCTTCATGTTACCACATCACCTTCCTAACTGTTATTTAAAATGGCCACATAAAATTTCATTCAATACATTGCCAAAACTTATTAGTCTATTATCTAGACATAAAAGATGTCTCCATTTTTTCATTATTACAACAGTGCAGTTGTAATAATACATGATGTTTAATTTATTAAGAATATTTAAGCTTAGAAATAATCCCATAAGTTTATATGTTGTTCTGAGGTGCCATCAAGTTGATTTTGACCCATAGTGAGCCACTGTGACACAGTAGAACTGCCCCATAGGGTTTTCTAGGCTGTGATCTTTACGGGAGCAGATTACCAGGTCTTTCTCCTGCAGAGCCACTGGCGGGTTCAAATCGGCAACCTTTCCATTACCAGTTGAGTGCTTAACCACTGCACCACCAGGGCAGTTATAATTCTGATTAGTATTTACGACTTTTGAATACTCACCAGACTAATATGTTTATTATACGAAGTACACATATGTGACACCATCATCTCTACCGTAGTGAGTTTTTGCGGCTGAAGCAAGGAATTTAACCTGTCCACAATGCTGACATCCAGTTCACAAAATACAGGATTTAATTTAACTTGTAATTCTGCTTTCTGAGGAACTGAACTAAGTCTTGCTTGACTACCCTTTTAAAAGAAAAAGAAAAAAAAAGCATAAATATGACTGTTAACGATACTATAAAATTAGTATAAAACCTTAAAATTATGACAAAATATCTACTGAATGAAAATTTACAGGAGGTGAATACACAAAAAGAAATCTTACCTGGGGTCCTTTGTTCTCAGAATGCTTATAATGAAGCTGAAGACATGCAGGGGGGTGTGAATCAGTCCCTTCTTTGGAATGGAACATTAAAAGCTTAAAAACAAAGATGAAGATAAGTGTAAAATATTAAACTAAAATTAATCACTTAGGAATTAATAGGAGTGCCAATAGTGGGAAAAGCTTTTTTAAGTCAGAAAAGCTGGCTTTAAGTTTCAGTTTTATCGCATACTAGCAATGAGAATCAAGTAATGAACTGAAGATCAAGAAAGTACTTGAAAATGAAAAAATACTATACAGGCAAATCAATAAGAACCACGAAAGTGCTTCGAAAATATACAAGGGCAAAGTAACAGTAATAAATGTTATTCTGACAGCTTGAAGAAGTTTCTCGAGGGCACACTTTTAGGACAGCAGAAAAATCAGATTAACGATAAATGAAAACAAGACATTTCCTTGGCTTAAACAGTGCTTAGCATACAGCACACATTCAATAAAGAAAATTCTTCTGAAATTAAGAGGACTTCGAAAACTCATCTGTCCTATAGCCTGTCTGCCAGTCTAAAACAAGCCAACTCTAAATTAAAAATTTTACCAGACTCTTATAAGTGGCCTTGAATGCCTCACTTAAAAATATGTTCCAACAAACACAAAAGCAAAAACACACACACAAATCGTATTCCTTCCTGACTTGCCATACATTTCTAAGAAATCACTGCTCTTCAAATAATCCTTAAAAACAAAGACAGACTTAAAGACTAACTCTGAAGGATACCAAAAACCCAAACCAAACCCATTGCCGTCGAGTTGGTTCCGACAGAGTAGAACTGCCGCGTAGGGTTTCCAAGGAGTGCCTGGTGGATTCGAACTGCCAACATTTTGATTAGCAGCCGTAGCTCTTAACCTCTACACCACCAAGGTTTCCATAGAGGAAAAGTATCCGTATTTACCTCTGTATAGTGAGGAGAAACAGAATGAAAATCACTTGGAAACAGGCACTCCAAGAGCTCCATCTGCCCAATGGACATGTCAGTACCAAAGTATCTGCAGGCTGATCTTTGTCTTTGTTCGTAGGAGACTTTGATGCCAGTACCTATAAATCTGTTATAAAAATGCAGCAATTGAAAGTATCCATATACTTATAGATTAAACAATGTATCTTAAGTATTCAAGAATAGCACACAAGTGTTAAAGTATAACAATTATCCATCTATTCTGACCAGCTCGAGTTCTTAGCAATTAGTACTATTCCTAAGGATATTAACCAGAAAGATTGCTTCAAATTTCCCATTCCCTGATATAAAATTTAAAAACCAGTTTTCTGGCCGATAGAAAATTACCCAGGATATACTTATCTCTCAACACTGCCCTTACTTCTTCTATGTTTTAAAATTGACACTGCAATGTGTAAAATCTTTCTAATCTGTAAAATATATGAAATAGTTTCTTAAAACTATTTAAAAGCACCATGCAACTGGCAGATATTTGAAACTTTGTGAAAAATAGGAAGAAAAAAATTTTTCTTCAGAGTTTGATTATAAATACTATTGTCCTAACAGGTAGAGTTTCTTTTACTAGGCTAACTATCAAAACTACTCTGCACATTAATTTTAATACTTCAAAAAAAGTTAAAGGTAAAAGACCAAAGATTTTCCTTAAAAAAATTAATATGTGTCCTTAAACCACTGTATAAAATACTTCTCAACAGTTTATAGATAATTTCGTCAGTTAATTACTTAAATAGTATTTGCATATTAACAATATTACACTCACAGATTTCATTACCTCCTCGTCCATCAGTACTCATCCCATGAACCGATCACCGGGTACGTGGGATACGTGGACAGCACTGATACTTTTACACAGAACTTGAAAAGGTGGCACTCAAGCTCAGGATCAGCCTTAGTCCTATCTCCCAGCCGGGGCCAGTGGCATACGGGTCATTTCCAAGTCCTAGCTCACTAGTTCATTCTGCTCTCACCACTGCTATCACATCTACTAAGAGCCGGTGGCCATAAGAACTGTTTTCATGATTTTAACGGTGCCAGTGGGGATAATGGCAAAATGCGGTAAAAAAACAAAAAACTTGACAACAGCAGGGCAAGGGGCTAAAGAGAAGATAATTTAGAAAGCTCCAGATTATCTAGATCTTATCTCTACATTGTTCCACATGCCAACCACCCTGAAGGAGAGACCCTACACTAGAAATCTTGGCAGCACAGCAAGGAAACCTCACTCATTTACAAATAAAATGTGAATTAGAAAAACAACTGGAGACGGACAGACAGAGGAGTACGAGAGCTCTTCTTCAAGGCTGATTAGTAAATACGAGAACACTTACCGGAGGTGATCATGTGAACAAGCTTCTGCAAACACTGCTCGGAAAGATTTAAAGTCTTCTGTGGAAAATCTTGCTGGATCAATCTTTCCTATACAAGTAAAGAAAGCTACGGCCATGGGCGTCAATGGGTTAAGGTTCAAGGACGTTTCAGGTGGAGATAAAGGATCGATGTGAAGCACTGAGACTGAAAAAGTTCCCACAGCTAGTCTAAAAATAAGTTCAGGCCTGGACTCATCCGTGGAAACGGGTCTAGATGGGAGAGCTGAAATACATGTGGTAAAATTATATGCATAAGATTTAATACTTAAAAACAATCTATTATATCAAAATTACGAAATAAGTACTTACGTATTAGCTTTAGAAAACAGGTGATCACATACCAGTTTAAATGATATTAAATAACTAATTAGAGTAAAATAAAACAAATCATTATCTTATGTCTAGGATTCTTGACACTTAAAGTACAAGAGAGTATGTTACGATAGTGAACGATGAACAAAACTTTTGCATTAATAAAATTGCACTGGAAAAGTCAGAGATTAACCACAATCTGCTCACTAAATTTTCCTTGAAGACCATGTCTATTTCAATTAAACTCTGCAGAGAAGAAAGCTGAGGTTCTCTTTTAAGGAAAGTGTAAACAGTGAAACAAGTATCAGATGGTTGACAGAGAATCCTAAACTGCAATAATAATATGAAACTTATCGTATACTTTTCACTATTTAAATCCAAAAAGAACACAATGAATAGGCAACTATTCTAAAACACTTCATAGTGAACTGTCCCACAATTGCTCCGTTTGCTTTCTAAACTTAATTAAGGGCCTGGACCAAAATAAAGAAGAAAAAGTATAAGAAGCAATAAAACGGTAATTTTTTTTAAAAAAGAAAGCAAAACATTATCTTTAAAAAAATCTCAGTGGACATCAAGAACAAAGGTCTTATTTCTACTTACCAGTCTTCTGTAAAGGTGTTGGGTGAATGAGGTTGGGTGGAAATGGTGACCCTCTTGCTGGCTGTTCTTTATGACGATCAAGGAAATCTTCCCAAGTTGGTTGAAGCTATAACAGTTTTTCAAAAAGTGCATGAAAATAGTGCAGACCTTTGGAAACAACTTTTCAAGAACAGAGCAACAAAAATTAAATACTACTTTACCACAGTAGCACTCAGTGGAGATCCTGCTGGGGTATTTGTATTTGTACTGGTTAACGACAACTCAAGGTCCATATTTGGGGGGTCTCCGAGGGGTGGAAGAGAGGAGAGACTGTGAGACATGTCCATATCAGCCATGGAGAAGAAAACCTCTTCTTCTAGAGAGAACGAGACTTCGTGAATTCCACAAATTCAACTCTTCAAAATAAGTTAATATTCTTCCTTAAGATTATTTGAGATACAGTGAGACCCCAAATTTCATGTTACTTCTAATGGAGTAATTTATCAGATCTAAGATATTAATGATATAGCAAAAACTCAACTGAATATAGGTTAACAAAAGGTTAAGCTATCCTACTAGTGAACTTGTCTTTGTAAAATACAGATATGCAGTATTACATGGTGTATTTTTAGTGTCATGTGTCCATTTAGAAGCTAAATATTAAGGTTTTAAAATAGTAAAAACAAGTATAAACCAAAGAGTCAAATACATTATTCAGAATTGTACTTAATGTTTCGTTTTTTTGTTTTTTTTTCAGGAGGCTGTGTTTTACCCTCATGCAAAAGAACTTTGTTATGGCCAAAAGTCCTTCATAGGTTTTAATCGTTTGTTTTGATATCCCACACTTAAACTTATTTTTTATTATTTACAGTATTATAAGTGCTTATACCCCCATATGTCTGTCAATTTGTCACACTGTGGTGGCTTGTGTGTTGCTGTGATGCTGGAAGCTATGCCACCAGTATTTCAAACATCAGAAGTGTCACCTGTGGCGGACAGGTTTCAGCTGAGCTTCCAGACTAAGACAGACTAGGAAGAACGACCTAGCAGTCTACTTTCAAAAAAAAATCAGCCAGTGAAAACCTTATGATCAGCAGGGGAACAGACCATGAATCGCTCATGTGCCAGTTCAAGTTGAAGCTGAAGAAAGTTAGAACAATTCTGAGAGCCAAACTACGATCCTGAGTATCTCCCACGTGAATTTAGAGACCATTTGAAGAATAGAGTTGATGCGTTGAACACTAATGACCGAAGACCAGATGAATTGTGGAATGACATCAAGGACATTATACACGTAGAAAGCAAAAGGTCATTAAAAAGACAGGAAAGAAAGAAAAGACCAAAACGGATGTCAGAAGAGACTCTGAAACTTGCTCTTGAATGGAGAGTAGCTGAAGCAAATGGAAGAAATGAAGTAAAAGAGTTGAACAGAAGATTTCAAAGGGTGGCTCAAGAAGATGAAGTAAAGTATTACAATGAAATGTGCAAAGATTTAGAGTTAGAAAACCAAAAGGGAAGAACATGCTCGGCATTTCTCAAGCTGAAAGAACTGAATTAAAAATTCAGGCCTTGAGTTGCAATATTTAAGGATTCTATGGGCAAAACACTGAACAATGCAGAAAGCATCAAAATAAGATGGAAGAAATACAGAGTCACTGTACCAAAAAGAATTGGTTGACGTTCAGCCATTTCAGGAGGTACCATATGATCAAGAACCGATGGTACAGAAGGAAGAGGTCCAAACTGCACTGAAGGGAATGGCAAAAAACAAGGCTCCAGGAATCGAAAGAATGCTAATTGGGATGTTTCAACAAACCGATACAGCACTGGAGGTGCTCACTCATCTATGCCAAGCAATTTGGAAGACAGCTACCTGGCCAACTGACTGGAAGAGATTCGTATTTGTGCCCATTCCAAAGAAGAGTGATCCTACCGAACATGGAAATTATCAAACAATACCATTAATATCACACACAAGTAACATTTTGCTGAAGATCATTTAAAAGCAGTTGCAGCAGCACATTGACAGGGAACTGCCACAAGTTCAAGCGGGTTCAGGAAAGGACATGGAACGAGGAATATCATTGCTGATGTCAGATGGATCTTGGCTGAAAGCAGAGAATACCAGAAAGATGTTTACCTGTGTTTTATTGACTATGCAAAGGAATTCGACT